CTCGCTCAGGATTCTTGTGTCATGATGCAAGACGGGCTCACATCCGCGCTTTTGGCGGCTGTACCAAGAAGAACAGAAGTCAACAAGGACAAATAAACTTTTCATGCAATCCAAACCCAAGCATCATGATAGCAAAGCCCTTGTCGTCAAGAGCTGCATGGAGTTTTCTTGTTTTTACAATATGAAACCCGAAAGGGTTGGACAACATCCAAACATTTTTTTTGCCTCATGCCCGTTACGACTGCAACAGGATTCGTTGGGTCACGACTAGTAATTGCAGGGATTGTGCACGAGGCAGCTTTTGCTGCTGTTACAAGCAGCTTTTGCTGCTGTGACAAACCCAGGTACCCCACCCCTTGAAACCCAGCCCCGTGATCACTTCTTCGTCTTCTTGCTGGAGGCCTTGGACTTCGCCTTGGACTTGCCACGGGCCAGCTCGAGCTTTCGCCTCTCATACCATTCCTTCCATTCCTCCCTTGTCAGCCTCAGCCCTTTGAAGTTGGGGTCTTGGCACTGGCTGCATCCAGTCCTGCAGCCTCGGCATCGGATGCAACCCAGTTTCAGCTGACTTGCCGGGGTTCCCTCCTTGCCTTCCTTGGCCTTAGGGGGTGCTACGGCCTGTGATCTGGCTGCTGGCTTTTTGCATGGCTTAGGCTCACCTCGCTTCCTTTTCTCCTGCTGCTTTTGAAGACCCTCGAAAACCTCCCTTTCGATTGCCTCCAACTTGCCCTCAGTTGCATGACTTGGGTTTGTTGCAGGGGGATTCTCAGCTTGCAAAGTCGCAGCAGCAGGCAGGGAGGCCGCAGGCACTACTTGGCCCTGGTGGGTTGAAGGAACCTGAGTGGAGGATGCTGGGATCTGCAGCATGGACTCTCTGGTGCATTGCTGGGCCGGGACTCGCAGTGCAGAGTCCGCTTGGGTGCCATGCTGAGGCGAGGCCATGTTCTGCAGAACCTGCAAACTCGGGGAAGCATGCAATCCAGCATCCAAATTGCTAGGGGCGGGAGCAATGCTGCTGCTTGGCAGAGTGGTTGGCTGCAAAGCCGCCGAGGATGCTACGGGGGATGGTTGCTGCAAAGCTGACTGACCGGCAGTCTTGGCCAGCTGCAAAGCCTGCAAAGTGTTGGGGTCCATGTGGCCAACAGTCTGCTGCAAGAATCTTTGCATGAGGCCGACCAAACCCTGGTCGCCGCCATCCTTCGCCTTGTTCTTGTTGGACTTGTCTTGGTTCCAAGACAGCAAGCACGATGTGCTACGTACCGGTGTCTCGTGAGCCACTCTGGCTGCAAGACCTGGCAACTCCCTGGGCTCAGGAGGGTCACCTTCGTCGTAGGCTTGCTCAAGGAAGGCGGATCCCAGCTCGTGCGGGTGGAGCGGGTACACGGTGCATCCCGAAGCTTTCTTCTTCACCAAGGTGTTCAAGAACACCTTGTGAAGCTGCTCAGCAAGGTAATACACCTGGTCGTAGCTGGGTGCCACATTCGACCGCTCCACTTGAAGATGCACGATCACGGCAGTACCCCATTTCTTGGTCTCCTCTTTCAAGGATGTCAACCCGCACCTCTTCAATCTTTCGGACATGATGACAGTGCAGTCCCACGAACTGGAAGATGCCATTCTGGTCCAGTCCTGCTTGGACAAGTAATTGAAGATCTGCACGAGGGTCTGGGGTTTGCTGGTCAATTTTACCTGCGATTGGCCAGCTATTGTGGGGCATGCTGCATCATCCAAAGCTTTGAGCAAGCCGTCTTTGTTGCTAGCAGACAAGCTAGACTTGGTGACGGCTTCCATCATCTTGCAGAGCTGGTCTGCTGTCCACCCCGGGTGATGCTTCATGCGATCCTGCAGCTGCACCACGAGCTTCGCCTCCACATCCGTCCCTGGCCTCATGGAGGCCAACTTCTGGATGGAGCTCAACTCCTGGACGAAATCCTCGGCCGTCCACCGAGCCATGATCTCGCTGATCATGAAAAACTAGAAGTGCAAAACAAAACGTGCTCGCACCAACCACAGCGATCGGCCATAGTGGTCGCACGGCACAACCAAGCATGCAACCAGATAGCCCAAGGAAAAAAAAA